TTGTGTAATAGTAAATAGATAGCGATTCTTATTTCTAAAAATTTTATAAATAATATTGATAAGCAAAGAAGGAATAAGTATTATCTAGTATAATTCAATATAACAAAACTTTTTTATATGAAATAATCTATACTACACTAAAAATTTGTTATATTAAAATTCATTATAGAAAGAGTTGACTGTACTTTAACTTTAAAATTTAAAATAAAAGCTATAAAACTTAAAATTTATAGATTATGATTTTATTATAAATATGATAAAAATCATGATTAATATTTTTATTATTTTTTAATAAAAATATTTTTTCTCATCAAGAAAAAGGAGCTCTTAATTCAAAAAGCTAAATCAATTACACAATCAAGATCATAAATTCATTAATGAGATGTTGATAGCTATAACTAACTATTTGGTAGTAAAATATGTAAAGCAGAATTGCTCGATTTTATAAATATGATCTCATTTCTTTTTATTAATACTTATTAGCGAAGTCTGAAGTCTTAAATTTGATAAGAGCGTCTATTTTATTTTATCTAACTTTGACTGCTTATTTGAATGATGCATTTTCAATTTGCATTAATAAAAGTTGAAGTAGAAGCATTTGAATTAGATTTTAAAATGTATTTTTGCTTTTTAGTTGTTTTATGTAATAATACTAATCATTTTAATTTATTTTTGCAAGCTATATAAAAAAAATCATGAAAATGGAGCTCAAAATGAATTTTTATCATGGATTTCCTCTATGGTATGATATTTTGCTAAAGGGCTCACCATAAAGCAGGGGTTTCAGATGCTTGCAATTCGATTTGCAAGTTATGAATTAGTGACACCATTAACTTTTAAGTTTTTGATTTCCTTTGATAGTCCAGTTTATAATATTAAACATACTGTAAATGAATATATAGAATTTAATGCTTAGTTTTTCATTGCCAAATAAATAAGTACATAATGCGGGAGGAGTTCGGTTTTGAAGTTATATTCAAATAATAAATAAGTATCGCGTCGGAGTTTTCGGCAAAAGAATTTTTTTTTTTAATGAGATCGATATTTACAGTATTGAAAAACAAAAAGAAAAAGGAAAAAGAAAGGAAAATAATTTTGAAGACAGTTGTTCGAATTATCTCTGCTGCGTAATAAACGCACAATATTACAAAACGAAATAATGAAAAAGTTGGATAATTCCCAAATAGAGTTTTATGCATGATTGTAAATTCGTGCATTAATAATAATAAAACAATGTAAATAGATATATATTCCTTCCATTCACTGAGCTAATAATAAAAGAATATATATCTCTCTTTCCAAATTGAATGACCATTTATTTAATTTACCAACCACAATTCTTCTCGAAATCATCTAGTTCCGCATTAAGGTCCCAATCACAAGAATCACTTTCTTCTTTGTCACAATATAAGCCACCAAGCTCATCCTCATATTCATCCAGTGTATCAGATAACTCATCACCTTCAATATAAAGTAGATCTACATAGCGATGCCTGATCAAAAGAGTTAAATTCACCTCCTTAAAATTTTTACAATATGAAAAGAGTTGCATTGCATTGTATGTTTCAGCCCATTTCTTAACCTCAAGAACGTTTTGAGCTTTAATTAAATCACTCTTAACGATCTGATGTTCAATAAGCCTTTTCAATTCTTGCAAGTCATACTTTTCACAAGCATTTAATAAATCAATATAGATTTCCAAATAAAAGGATATCTTATCAGCCAACGGTGGCATCTTGATATCTAATAGCGCGTCTTCAAGACTTCTGCCGTACAACCATTTCAACATAACGCGGAATGCCTCAGGTCCTATATCATCAATGTTAACATGGACCGATTCTCGCGGGTTAGATTCCCTCGTTCCCGAGGTGAACATTCTTTCAAAGTAATTAGCTGAAGCTGCCAACACATAGCGACTAGACCCGATCACTTCACCACGAATGTGAAAGAAAATATCATGGAACCTTTGTATTCCATCCTTGTAAGATGAATTAGATTGTTCGTCCAAGAATCTGGCAAATGATATTGCAATCTTATCCCGTTGTGAATATGCACCGGGAATTTCCATGTCTATCTGTGGACTTTTCATCTCTTGCACTCCACAAATTCGAAGTAACCTTTTAAAAGGTACTAGATGAACGTTCACCGCCCTATTCTTTGAATTGATATCTTCATCAATGTTCAATACCAACTGTTTCGCAGATACCCAATTATAGGGATCAAATACGTCCTCGCCATTGAGAAAGATGTTAGGATCTTCCTTCAATTTTAAATTTAAATATGTTTGTACCATTGGATCCTGATCCAAATGTTGATATATTTGAAGAAAGACTGTATGAAGTAATTCTGATAATCCGGAAGATTTCCACTCTGATACATCTGCTCTTACAATGTCCCTTATGGTATAAAGATGATCTACAACAACTTGAGTTTCAACTTCGCTCAATTCAGGGAATATATTGTTGACGGTGTATTGTGGTAAAACATCATCATCATAAATTGGACATTGTGTCCAACAAATATTTTTAAATTTGGGCAAACGAAGTGAACTAAAACTATGTAATTCAGGGACCTTTGAATATGCCGTTTCAAGGAAAGGAGGATCAACAGGTTTCGAGGTAACAAACTTAATCTGAGAAATTTTTTCCCAACCTTCACCGGTTAAACCTAAATCAGTTAAGTGATAGTAAAAATGACGAACCACCAATTTTGCACGTTCATGCAAATTCCCTGGAGGCAAAGGCATACGCGATAAATTCTCGATTTCTTCCGCAACACGGATAAATGATTTTCCGTCCGTTACACTATTAAGCCCCAATTTCATGAGACCATCTAGAACCCATCCGCTTCTAAGTTCCACTGGAAGGAATCGATCGGATCCTGCAAATACCTCCCTAAATAATTCTTCACAAGGGTCATATAACTCGCTAGCCCTCATCAACTTTGTATAAGATTCATTGGGAATAATACTAAAACGCTCAAGAGATTCAGGGATCATATACAATGGAAGTCTCAATAAACTACTAATGAATTTCATATACTTTGGGTCCGACGGATTAACACACTTGATGTGATAACACACGCCAGTAATAAAAGTATTTAAACTTATAACAGGAACGTTCAACATATTCAAGGCTAACCACCCTTCTTCTGATTCGACGTCAAAATAATTACCGTCTGCTCCTAATGGTGAATAAAATTCGAGACCTTTAGGAAGCAAGCATCCGTTTTTAGGAGATTCGTAAGGTTTCTCTTTAGAATGAGTAGGCCAAATTGGTAATTGTCGTAGTATATCGTAAAACTCTTTTTGTACTTTAATTGTGAATAAAAATTAAAAAAATTTCATTGAATTTACTTACCATTTTCGACCCTATAAATCCTAAAATGAATTAAAAAAAAAAAATAATTTTACCTTTTCTTCGTGTGTATACAAATTCGAACCAATTATCCATTATAAATTTCCTAAACGATTCTCTATTCTCCGAATCCAGAGGTTTAAGAAATCTTTCCATTGATAAATCCTTGAATTTTCGTAATTTCTCGATAATCCGCAACACGTTCTGTGGATTCCAGTCAAAGATATACGGTTTTAATTGTTCAGTTTTACGAAAGTCCGTAAAATGAACGCCAATTTTTTCAAGAACAACCGCCGTAGGCTCATAGTTAAAGTTAAAAGGATGGCGAATCAATGGATTTGATGAATTTAAAGCAAGAAGGTAATGTTTAGAAACAATATCAGGAGAAGCAGGTTTGACAGCGGGAAGAAGAGGAAAATTATCGAATGATTTTAAATCACAATTAAAATCTAAGATACGGTCCCAAATTGCTTTTAACCAATGTCTATTAGGAATGGATTGAGAATCGGGATCCCATTCTAAACTTGGTCGTTTAGACAATTCATGTTTCAGAATTTTCTTAAAACCATTTAAATCAAACAAATGAATCTTGTTGGCTTTTTGAAAATCCTCATTCAAAAAGATCTCTTTCATATCCTGGTCTATAGTATCGTCGACGAATACATTGGGACCATATTTTGGGAATAACCTTCGTTCCGAACAATTTGCAAGATAGTACTTTTTATCACCAAAGGCTGCATGCGATTCATTTAAAACAGGTACGAGGGGTAGACCTATAAGGTCATAATAAGCCTTATCCTTGAGAACAAAGCGCAGCAACTTGACAATAATTTCATTACGGCTAAGCAAAGACAAGGGTTCTTTGACTTGAAGCTTTTTACCGCGTAAAGTATCACGCACAAGTTTAGGGGTTAAGAGTTTGTTATGATTTGCGTTTGTATCTGGAAAACCATAAACGACTTTAACATTGTATTCCCTTAAAAAATCTTCCAGCCAGGAATCACTAGAGTTTTCGATTATCAAGATTGGTTGATTGACATCTTGGGTAGATTTATTATAGTTTTTTGAGAGAGTCATGGTTGGCATGTGTAATTAAAGGAAGGAAAAAAAAAAAGGGAAAAATTTCAAGTCGGGAAGTTGAACGTAATTAACTTTAACTCGGTGATTTATATAATACATAGAAAAGTCTATCTCTACCCTCAAATTTCTCCGGCATTATAATTAGACAAACTAATCCTAATTCTGGCTTAGCACATTTGATAACAAATATTTCAACAGTTTAAAATGCAATATACGCTAATATATCAAGTCAATAGTTATATCAGTAGCTAATTTTCTTCAAAGCATCTTCGGTAAATTCTCGGTTAAAAGTGGATGGATGTGCCGACTTCTCAACTCGAGAACTCTTAATCTAATATTTTCATAAATAAATGTTAGCATTGTAGATTTCTTTGCTTACAATTTGTAAACTAATTATATTTGTTCAATAAGACCGTTAGCTCCTTTGCCGATTTTCCATTGGATGACTATTTTTCGACGCGTGTAACCTACAAAATTTTCTATACACCTGAAAATGAAAATAAGCTCACCTTATTGAATAACTCACTTCCCTTCACTTTCGATACCCTTAAAAATAAATAAATCATGGAATATAAAGGTGCACCTTCAGAAGGCCAAAGGCAGGCCATGTTAGAAAAACAACGAGCAAGAATGTTAAGTGAATTCGAAAAGCAACGAGAGAAGATTACTAAAGTGAGTAAGTTGGTTTCTTTTTTATTTTATTCCAACCTTTTGTATATTAATTTAAATTAATGTAAAATTTTATTTAGAGTTCAATTATAAATTCCATTTGGAATAGTACGATAATTAGAAAATTCGATAATCAATCATATATTAAGAATAAAATGCAAAATATTCATTAACCTATTCTTCCATTATTTATTTAAAAAGGATAACCAAGTTAACATAACGAACAGTAAATTTGTCACGCAATACGAAGACGTTGAAGATTCATTGAAAAAAGAAACGATTGGTCTGGTCAAACTTGAAGATTTCCAGAAAATCAGGAAAGAAATACAAGTTCAAAAAGAACGTGAAGCTGCAAGAACCGCAGAATTAAAGTTAGTTAATTTATTTAAAAAAAATTTCGGATGAAATAATTATGTTCAAAGTTTATTAACAATAGATTTATTATATTTGAGAAAATCATAGGTATGAAAAGTTTAAGAAAAAGCGTAAGAAAACCGAAAAAGTCAAATTATCATTTGATCTTGAAGAAGGTGAAGAAGATCAAGATGATGTAGAAATTAAAAATTTTAAATTAAAAAAAATAACAAATAATATTGAGGAGGTTGAGAGTATAGAGAATAATGATGGTAGGTAATTGATTCGTAAAAGGTCATGTTGCTGTCGAAACCTTATTAATTATTAATTATGATGATTATTAAAAAATTATTAGTATCCCCTCAACCATTAAGCAAGAAACCTAAACTTGGTAAAAACCCTAATGTTGATACTTCTTTCCTGCCTGATAGGGATAGAGAAGAAGAGGAAAGGAAAGAACGAGAGCAGTTGCGATTAGAATGGCTTCAAAAACAGGAGGAAATCAAAAGTTTGTATCCATTTTTGGTATTTTAACCTTTGTCAGAAGTGTCGTTGATTGTGATTAAATATTTAATAATCCAAATAGATGAGAAAATAAGTGTCACTTATTCTTATTGGGATGGTACCGGTCATCGTAAGACCGTCTCTTGTAAGAAGGGTGATTCAATCGCAACGTTTCTGGAAAAATGTAGACAACAATTTCACGAATTACGCGGTGTCAGCGTAGACAATCTAATTTATGTAAAGGAAGATTTAATCATTCCTCATGTAGGTTTATTTTCAACAAGTCAATCTTTGTTAAATCCTTACAATATTATTAAGATATGAATATTTTTTTTAGCATTATACATTTTATGATTTTATCATCAATAAGGCAAGAGGCAAATCAGGCCCCTTGTTTAGTTTTGATGTACACGATGATGTTCGATTGACACATGATGCTACTGTGGAAAAGGATGAGGCAAGTTACTTTTTTTTTCGCGTTAAATCTTGTGATTATTTGAATAACCCTCCGATAACTTTTTTTTTCGGTTAAATCTAATCAGTCTCACGCAGGTAAGGTGGTTGAAAGGAATTGGTACGAAAAGAACAAACATATCTTTCCTGCTAGTCGTTGGGAAGTGTATGATCCTGAGAAGAATGTGCGTAATTTTTAAATACAATTCTTTGTAAATGTCACATTGTCTTGATGATTTATTTTTAATATATATTTTTTTTTCGCATCAATAGTACGGGAAATATACGATCAAGGATACAAACAAGAAATTGGGATCATAATTATAACAAAACGAACAAACGAACAATTCAACATTATAATCTAATTTTATATTCCAAGAAGCTTTTAATGTTCGTATTGTTAAAATTGAAAGTTCATGATTTCATGTGAAAGACACTTTTAATTATATCATTCTTTCAAATTATCATAATATTTCATTTAGAAATAAAAGAAATGAAGTAATTAAAATTTATTGTCCAGAAAACTTATTGTGTTTAAATAAATATAAACATGTTCCCATTTCTGCTTAGCCATGTTATTTATTGATCGATCACGTGGCAAGGATCAATTCTATTTTAGGTAACTAACAATCAAAATTGGGAACTCAATTTACCCGCCACGTTAAAAAAGAGTTCGTTTTCCAAATCATCAGTTCCGAGTTCCGATTGTACCAATTCCAGAGTTAAACATGTATTAATAAAATAATTCAATGATATGTTTTTCTAAAAAAAGCATTGTTATCCCTAATTAATGATTTGTTTTTCTTTGCTTCACATGTTAATATTACGATGAATTTACTTGCGCCACTTGCAATAAGACTTATCGTGATTGAAATTCAAAATATATAAGGGGAACCTCGTTGATTGAAACAGAAAAACAAAAAAAAAAATAAAAAAATAAATCCCTTTAATAAAAAAAATAAACTTATACACGATTTTTTTTGTTTTTTAAAAAAAAAAATGAGTTCATCAAATTCTAAAGAAAAGGGTAACTCTCTTGCTGATTCGATGCCTGCGCATAGACATGGTCATCTTGAAGATATGAAAAATATTGAAGATACCGGCAAATTTGAGAAAGCAATTTACAATTATGTTCCTTTGCTCATCCCTTCACTTCGCTATGTCAATTATTTGAAACGCGTCTTCGAATATTTATTCTATACGTTATTATTTGATATTACGATGCCATTCGTTAAACCTCTCAATTTTTTTGTCATGTTTATTCTTTTTCCAATTGGCGCACTTATTTTAATTGTTCTCGATATTATCCTTCGCGTCTTCTCCTTCTTGAGTATTGATACATCTGTAAAACCGGTGAGGGATTGGGGTGTTTTGTCGGAAAATAATTATGGTAGGTATCATAAATTTAATTAAAATCATTAAATGATATCCAATATTTCTTTATTAATTTTTAATACTCATGATCTTATGTTTCTATATAATAGATGAGATCGTTCGTAAAGGAGTTTATGAATTGGGAAAACCATTTGAAAGTTACGAGGATGAACAAGATGGTGACGTCAAAATCTTTAAACAGATTAGAAATTTTAACATCGATATGGTGGAAACGCTTTTATTCTTGGCTACCACAGTATATGAAAGAAAGGAGGAATATGTAAACAATGCGATCAATAGAATCCAAAAAATTCAAACTTCAAGCGCAGAAGCGACTCCACAGGATATTAAATATATTAAAGGTCAACTTCTGGAAGCTGAAAAGACCATTGTAAGACAAGCAGAGGATTGGGGATTAGGATTTACTTCCATTTCTGAATTAAATTCTCTCGGTGGACCTTACGCTGGAATGTTTTGGAGTAAAGAAAGAAAATTCATCGTGGTGGCCTTCAAGGGGACCACAGCAGCTTATTTTAGTGAATGGTTAATTGATTTCTTGGTACAAAAGATTGACGCTAGAGCTTATCTTTATGGAAAAGTACATGAAGGTTTTTACACTTCCTTGTTCCCTAAAAACGATAAAGAGTCTTCAAAATATTATAGAAGAAGTCCATCGATGAGATTAATCGAAGCTATACGTAGTAAGGCAGCAGAAATTACAGATTATAATGAACAAGACGGTCCAGTTTCGGTGTGGATTACCGGTCATTCTTTGGGTGGAGGTTTGGCTACACTATTTTATACTCGCTTGTTGAAATCACCAGAAATTTTGGGCAAAAATTGTATGCTTCGTGATGGACTCGCTTTCGCGGCACCAATTGTTGGTGATGACAATTTCGCATCATCCTTTTCTTCCCGATCCAACAAACCATATGAAACTTCTACAACTTTATGGAGAGTTATAGCAGGAAGTGATATCGTTCCTCATGTTGCACCGGCCAACCGTAACCCTAAAATACAACGTTATTTTACAAACGTCGAAGCCATCAATTATGTTCATATAGGAGAAGAAATTACGTTCAATTTTGACGGTTCACGACCATCAGCGACGAGACCCGTCTTGGGAACGGAAGACTATTTTGTTTTTGATAAAATGTCAACTTGGGGCGATTTAAAATTCGCTTTTAAAGGAAGTCAAAAGAAACAACATTTACGAAAACCAGTTAACGTTAATGTGAATAAACCTTTATATGCTTTTGAAAAGCTTTATCCACTTCCTATTCGAAATCATCTACCACATCGTTATTTTATATCTATGGAATTAGCTAGACATTATTTTGAAGAAACTGAACAACAAAAACTTGAACTTAAAGGTTGAACTTGAACTTATTCATTATATTTTTTTTATTTTAAATCTTATTTTTATGAAATCTTTAATTTTCTTTTTTTTTTTTTTTAAACGTATAATGTTCCTCCTCCCTGAATCCTTTTTTTTTGTGATACTTTAGTTTAATTAATGTTACTTTTCAACTTTTTGTTTGTTTCAAATTATCACTAATAATAAACAAATTAACAAAGAAAAAGAAAAATCCGTAACTTGTATTTGTCGTACAGTACATCACAAATGTAAAGTTTTTGGTCGAAATTACAGAACGTTATTATCAGAATTCTTGTTTAACGCAAGGTAAAACCCAATTTTCCCCTTTCAGCAGATGTCGAAGAAAGTTCAACGAGAAAAAGTACATAAATTAAATTAAAACGTGAATCATTGTGGTCTGTGAAGATTGTAAAACAAAATGATGATCATTAACTTCCTAAATTAATATTCCCTTTTTTACTTTTGAACCGAGACAAAGACAGGTTTCATTCTTGATTTAACCTATATTTAATACATCATTATTATTTAATGACAGATAATTTTTTATCAGATAAAGTAGTCTTATCTGATCATGAAAGTTCAAATGAAACAATTTCAAGTTTAACTTCTTTCGGTAAATAGCTTTAATAGGTAAAAAAAAAAAAAATTATTATACAATTCATTTTTCTCTCTCCTTTAAAAAATATTTGACTACAAATATATCCTTTACGACGGAAATATATTGTTCATCCTATCAAATTTCCGTGAGACAGTCGGAAAAATAGAAACTCTTTCTCCTATTTTTTTTTAAAAAGATTACATAACATTTATGGTAGTACAGTCATATCAATTCTTTAATCGATACCACAAACGTTTACAATAGGAAATTAGGCAAATTTATTGTGCTTCCAATGTTAAGGCTTTTTTTTTTTTTTTTTACGTTTTCAAAGAACACATTTTAGGATGATATATATATATATATGTGTGGTTTTTTTTTTTTTTTTTTCATAAAAGATTTTGGTTAAAAATTTTTTTTTTTTCATGCTAATTTTATCTTATATACAAAATTGCGTTAGCGCAAGACCATCAACTTTTTTAGGATTAGGATTATATATATAAATGTACCAACTTTACATTAACCTACACATCATCTCTTTTCTCCTCTCTTGAACATACCGCAATTAACGTTCAATTATGTTGCCATTTTTACCGCCGGAGTGCCTTCAGACGATATTTAAATTATTAAAAGATGACAAAAAGTCATTACATTCATGCCTATTTGTGAATAAGTACTGGTGTAGTTGTGTAGTACCCACGTTGTGGAGTCGTCCTTTCGAACTTGTAAGTCGACCGTCAGGTAGACTCATTGAAACGTATACCAATTTTTTCAATGAAAAATCCAAAGAGCTCTTATCATCTCATCATATCATCATTAAACCCACAAGTAAACCGATTGTATTCGATTATCCAAGATTTATTAGGTCCATCCGATATCATAACGTTTATGATTTTAGTTCGGTATGGTTACATGAGGCGATATGTCGAGGTCAACAAAAACATTCCTCATCATTCGATAGAACCAATATATTAAGAGCATTCTCAAAAGAATTAATCAAATTATTCCTTCATAAAAATTCTGCCGTGGAAGATTTATCATTTAATGTCGTAAGATTTCTCATTGTACCTGATTTATCCGGTAACAGTTTAATTCATAGGTTTGGACCACCCAGGGAACCTTCGTATGTTAAGAGGGCTTTAGAATATTTATCACCATTTGAAGAAGATTTACTTGATATAATTTGGAGTACAAAAACTTTTTTAACCAATTTACAAAAGTTAGAACTTGGTGCCAATAAAAATGATGATAGTATCATGAAAATCCTTAGAAACGTAACCAAAAATCTCGAAACTTTGGAATTTAGTTTCTCGTCAGAATTAAGGGATCATAATGATGAAGAAGATCCAGGGATAACGGTCATGATGCAAGATTTAATTGAAGGGCAAAATTGTTTAAAGAAAGTTGGCATAAGTCAAGGTTCTCATCATATCCCGGGATTAATTAAAGCGTTAAAGTGTCACGTTAACACTTTAACGGAAATATCATTTGAAAAAATTAATTTCGATTCCATCACTTCGGCGCAAGAGACATTTGAAATGATCTCTTCATGTTACAACTTGGAAAAATTAGTGATATCGGATTGTCAAGGATTAACCAATGACGTGATCGCATCCCTTAACACCGCGATATTCGTTAATTTGAAAACCTTAATATTTACAAAATTTCATAATCCAATCGATGATATCTTCAGAGCCTTCATAACGGGAATGCCTCAAACGATTAATGCTGATCAAGAAACGATGGAACCTTTAGCAAACTTGATCTCGGGTACGAATGAAAGTTTACAAATTTTACGTTTTGGAAGAAGTTCACTTTATGGTAGGGAATTACCATATGATTTTGGCTGGGGTACGAATTTTCCACCCGAGAAAATCATGGAAGTAATATCGTTATCATGTCCCAATTTAACTTTATTCGAGATTCATATAAGGAGGAAAATACTTCCTCAAGTGTTGAATCTCCTGAAGTCTA